GCAGCCGGTTGCTTGGAAAAAAATTAGGGGGCTGAATTTTGTTGAATTTTATGCATGAGAAAATTATTTTTAGTAATTGGAATTTAGAGTATTTACAAAGATTAGTCCTTAAGCTTCTACTATAAATACTCTAACTCATTTAGCTTCAAAATCATCCTAAAATCCCAAAATCATTTCTTTCTCCTAATACTAGAGAGATTTCTTGTGATTAGTGAGTGTTTTGTAAACACCTGTAAATTTTCTCTCTTAGTAAAAGATCTGCAGCAGTCCGGAGACGTAGGCACAATTGACTTAACTTCGTTATAAATTTTTTATTATTTTTCCGCTTTTATTTTGCATTCTCACTAATCTGATTATAATCTGATTATAGGGAAATTACTCGTTTTCGATTTATTTCCCAACACATCTCTTCAAAAAACAAATGTTTAGAAGTCAAAAGTTTTCTTACATCTTCTTTCTCCCTCTCGGATACATCGATTATGTCCAAAAGCTTAGGGTTCTCAACAACCTTGCAAGAAATGCCTCTCCCCAGTAAATCATTCAGTCTTCTATATGTTTTGCTCAAATTATTGAACTTGTCCTCACATTGTTGAGGATACATGGTAATCCCAATCAGCCATGACCTTCGAAACACACTTCCATTTTCCTTGTTTCTTCAAAAGGGAAGACATTTTTATCTGACTACCCACGCAATCAGTGGGAGGATCCTCCCCGATGTACGAAAGAATAGTAACCAAAAGCTTCACGCTTTTTCCAGTCCATTTCATGCGTTGCCAGGGCGACCCGTCCTCGCTGTTGCCAGCTTCATTGTGCTCAAGTTTGCTTTGTTCAGCATAATTTGACATATCATTTTCGATAACAATGCTTTTCCGAGTCTCATTTTCAGCTAAACCAAAAGCAGAAGCTTGTTGAGACATGCGTGGCTTTTGTTTGTGTTGAAGCTGTACCGGATCTTGTAGATCTAGACAACCATATACCCATCCCTGCAGCATATCACCACCTACTGGTGGTTTACCTTCCATTGTTGTCAAGCGGATATGCGATGAACTCATTGGATCAGATCCTAAAACATAAGTTCGACAAGATACAATCAGGTTGCTTGGTTAGTATTTCGATATCATTGGAGCACAATTAAAGAGTTCAGACACAAACAGTTAAAGTCGTTCTCAGTTTAGCACCAAGCTAAAGAGTCCCATGGAATGAGTTTCATTCCCTGGATAACAGTTTCTACAATTAGATTTCTCAATAAATACTTGAGCAATACCTTTTATAGCCAAAATCGATCTAATTTCTAAGAATGATAGGAACAAACAACGCAATTTCATGAAAGTAGATCCAAATAGATCTGTTTCCAATGAATGAATCCAAAACAGAAATTTATGGAAGTGAAAGCAAATAAATGCATAACCAGAGATCTAATAAAGAAACTCAAATAGACAAATGGGACTTATCTGCTTCTGCATGGAGCAGAAAGCCATTACCTCCATCAGACAATTTCCTCCCTCTTCACAATCTGCAATGTGGAAGCAGCATCGATATATATAACTCAAAGGGCCCGAGGTGCACAAACTGTGAATGCTTGAGAATTAGTGAAAATGGACGATAAAAATGAAATGCTCGAAAGGTAACGCTGGCACATGTAACTTCAGTTTTAACTTGAGCACGATATCCACTTGTCGGTTCATTAATGCTTACGACAGAACATGGAAAACATAGCTCGCTGTAGGATATCTTCAGAATCTATAACAATAAGCTTGAATTGATGAAACAAAATAACATGATGCATCAGAACATAAGGCTATATTGACAATCTTAAACAAAATATAGCAAAATTTATAAGCCAGCAAGTTTTTCAATACATTAAACTTAAAATAGGATTCCAAGATGTAACCAGGATCAGAACATGTACTCGGTTTTAGACACTGCTCATTTTCTTGTTCCCAGTTGGGATGCTAAACGCTCATTTACAAGCTTCATACATTCATTTTCCAGCCTGATCTTATCCAAATCCCTATCCTTGTTCCAATTTATCCTTCGCCACTTAAACTGTTGCTTCTCCAGTGCAAGCTTTCGGGCCTGAATTTGTATCTTCTGCCTTCTCAACTCAAGTAAGCGAAATGCCATCCACTGCTCTTGCAACGCATATGAGCTGTTGTAGTTTGGGTTAACATGACTCAAATCAAGTTGGTCATTTTGTTTAGAAGCTTCCAACATTTTTCCATACTCCACAGAATTCGAAGGATTGCCAACAACCACGTCTTTCATTTCATTCATTTGTTTACACCTCTTTGAGGATGGCTCCGGAAACCTTGAAGTTCCCTTGTTATCTTCTATTCCCTCAAATCCACCATCAGGTGCAGCATCTTGCTGTTCTTTCTCAAACTCATCATCCCCATTGTGTTGCCTCGACTGATTAGGCTCATCGTCTTCTCTGCTTCCAAGAATCAACTGCAAGGAGTGCTGCAACTCTGGATCATGAGGAAGATTCAATCTATTCCCAGTATGGTAAGAACACATTTCCTCTTAAAACAGATTCTTCGAGCTCAAAATTTTCTTTACCTCCTCCTTTACCTTATTATATACATTCATTATGTCCAAAAGCTCCGGGTTCTCTACAACCTTACAACAAATGCCTTTGCCAAGAACATCATTGAGTCTCTTGTATCTTTTATTTAAATCATTGAACTTGTCCTCGCATTGCTGCGGCGATACATGATGACCCCTTTCAATCATGAGTTTTGAAACGCACTTCCACTTCCCTATCTTATGCACAATAGACGATTTCCTTCTAACACCACCCAGACAATCAGAAGAAGCATCCTCATCAACATAACAAACAGCATTAATCAAAAGCCTAACCATTTGTGGTGTCCATTTCACTCGCTGCCACAAGAACTCGCCTCTCCCCTCGGAACCATCATAACATCCATCACCACCACCTTGTTTATCGAAATTGTTCCAATTATCATCACTTGGTTTTTCGATTTCTTTCATATTCTCAGACCCGAATGGCAAAACATCTTGAAATTGGGAACCTTGCTGGTAAAATTGCTGGTCGTCTAACCCTTGATGAACCTGAAATGAGCCTAGTGAGTCCAAATATGCAAATGACTGAGTCTGACCACCTGGAATCAGATTGTTATCTGATGCTGGATTTCCTTCCATAGTTTGTCAAAAAAAAATTCAATACTACTTTCAATATAGCTTACAAGCTTTTTATAGGCCAAATTGACACTTTTGGAAATGGAGAACCAGAGAAGGCAATGGCTGCTAACATTAGTAGGTGAATTAAAGCAAAATCTTTGAGCGGATACAAAAATTAAAACGAAATCCAGCAACAAGATTCAGAAAATCCCAAACAAGTAAACACCCAAATTGCATGCAACATTGCAAAACTCAAATGTAACACCCGACTCGTTCACTGAAGCTAACGTACACAGTTTTGGGATTCTTCTCAAATGGAGAAGTTGTAAAGCAGTGGAAAGAGACTTATCTGGCACAAAAGCAAAGACCCATTTCGTCATAAAAGTTGTTCTTTTTCCCTTTAACAAATAAAGTTAAAAATATCATCTTTTTGGCTCCAAAGCTCTCTTCTTTTCATGCGAACTAGGCAGTTGTGCAGTAAGACAATGGTGCAATTTGATTTAACTCAAAAAGAGAATTTGGCATGGCTGAGTCAGATCCGACCTGGTTATACTGAACTGTAGAGGTCCGATCTGACTCAATTAATCATGGAATGTAAAAATTTAAGAGATATAAAATTAAATATTAATATAAAATAAAAAATATTTTAATTATATAAAAGTTTAAATTTTCTAAGAGTTAGACTGCATTCAACATCCCTTCAATGCTTAAAGTGGATTTTTCTTTGATTTCCTTTAATTTCAAATTTAATTAATCGATCAAATACCGAATATAATGGTAAGGTACATTGTTAATTTTATAAGAGGTATAATCACGAAATTTCAAACATAAAATTTTCTTTGATTTTCTTTAATTTTTATTATAGTTAATCGATCGAATATCAAATGTTAAGTATAATGATAAGATACGTTGTTAATATTATAAGGAGAGATAACTACAAAACATGAACAATAAAATCAACGTAAAAGATTAAAAAATATATTGAAACATTGTATTTATGTAAAATCCCAAATATCATTCTTTTTTTTAAAAAATTATTAAATTGCTAAATTTTCAGTATACTGATAAGTAGGGGTGAGAATAGGCCAGGTCGGCCTCCAGGAGCCTGGGCCTGGCCTGTATAAAGTCTGGCCTGGCCTGACCTATTTAACTAAACAGGCCAGGCCCAGACCTTTTTAAAAACTTATTTAACTAAACAGGCCAGACTTAGGCCTATTAAAAAGCCTTATAAGCCTGATAGGTCGGCCTATTTAGAGTGACTACTTTGTAAAATGTACTAAGTTAGAGTAACTTAATAAGGATTTTACTCTAAAATTAATGGCTAAACTGAAAATATTAAATGTTTATTGTTAAACAGGCTTTTAAACAGACCATGCTTTTAAACATGCCTAGGCCATACCTAAATAAAAGCTTTTGACAGGCCACAGGCCAGGCCCAGGCCTACACAAATCATTATAGGCCAGGCCCTTGCCTGGGCCTGGCCTATTCCCACTCCTACCGATAAGAGACTTTGTTCATATTATTAAGAGAGATAATTACGAAATTCCGAATAATAGAATTAACGTAAGAGAATAAAAAAATATAGTAAAACATTATATTTATGTAAAATCTCAAATATCATTCTTTTAAAAAAATTGTTTTATTGAATTACTAAATTTTGAATATAGTGATAAGGTATGTTGTTCATATTATTAAGAGAGATAATTACGAAATTCCGAATAATAGAATTACGTAAAAAAAGAAAGAAAATATTAAAATATTATATTTATGTAAAATCCCAAATATCATTATTTTTCCGAAGAAAAATTATTAACGTAGTATGAAATCACATGTTAAAGGTTAAAGTGACTTATGGCCTACAAGTTTATGCAATTGTTTTCTTTCTTCTTGTTCATCTTAATTTGAAACAGCGTAGAGTGCTTTAATCTATTCAACATCATCATAGCTGCCAAGGAAAACAGGAGATCGCTCATGTATCTTCCCTGGGACTAAATCAAGTGCCTGCAAATGCATGGAAAATTAACAACATATGAGGATTCTGTTGCCTTGTGAATCGAACCGACGCTCGACGAGTCGAACGGTAAGTAACTCGAGTTTTCTCGATCGAAAATGATTGAGGCAAGCAAGTCATAATACCCTTTGTTTTCCAGTGAAAGCTTGACCTCCAGCCTGCTCCATCAGGTATGACATTGGGAAGACTTCGTAAAGAAGACAGTATAGGAAAGAAGTTATGTTAAGTGAGGAAATAAACCAAAATTGCAATGAAGAAATGGAGCTTTCAAAGCGATGTTGTACCGAAGCTTTCCGTTTGGACTTTTCTTATCTGCAGGGTATAAGAAGATACCGCCGTAAAGCAGTGTCCGGTGCACATCTGCAACCACGCTGCAAAGGCAAATGCCATTAGTGTTATCTTCGGTGGAGTATAAAATGCAACACATATCCAGACACATGTAAATATACTCATGTCCGGTGCTCGAGGCGTCCGAGTAACATAGCGAGCCTAATAGTAGATTACCTTCCAATGTACCTAAGGGACCTTGGGGGTGAACCATCTGCAGGGAAATTGCATTTTTCCACAAACTTTGTAGTTGGCTCATCCCAATTCATGGCATTTCCTTCATTTACTGAATAAATCTTTCCCCTTTTTGGTACCTTGATATTGGGATGGGTTAGTATGAACTCGCCGAGAGATGGATCGAGTGTGAAACCGTTGACGCCACTCCCGGTACTCAGCACTAGCTGCAAATCAAAAGCAAAGAACCTTCCAATGTGTTTCAATTATCAAAACAAAATCGATCTGAGTTGCAGTAAATGCTGATAGTGGTGATTGTTCTTACCGTGCAGGAGCATCCGTACATGCAATAACCGGCTGCTAAGAGGTTTCTTCCGGGTTGCAATACGTCATCGATCATCGGATTGTCTTTATCTTTAACCAGATAAATCCCGAAAATCTGATCACATGAGGTAAACATTCATGTTCACCATCCATAAACCAGTTTAGAACAAAGGAAATGCTGAAGGCTGAAGCAAAGGGCGAGCTTACAGTTCCTATGGAAACACCACAATCAATGTTTGAGGATCCGTCCAATGGATCAAAAACAACAATGTATCTGCATAAACAAATACAAAATTTAGCCTAGAATTCGTAACCAATACTCGGAGACGATGATTAGGCATATCAGTGTCGGATTTCTGCATGTATCAAACCTTCCACGCTTCGATTGATCGACGAATATAGCCTCTTCGTCCTCCTCCGAAACCAGGATGCACTACACAAGATTACACATAAGATTATGCACTAATTTTCATTCAATCAAAGATATGAACAGATAGTTTTTCAGGCTTACTGTTCGTCCACTGCTAATCAAAGCCTTAACAAAAACTTCATTCGAAAGCACGTCCAGCTTCTTCTGTTCTTCACCCTAAAACATGGGGGGGGGGGGTCTCAATTCATACAACAGAAGATGATGGAAAATTAAAGCCATTAACGATGAAGGCATACCTGAACATTGGTCTCTCCTGAAAGTCCTAATAGTTTTGCAAGACCCGCCTGTACACATAGAACAATGATTTTGCAAGTGAAATCTGATATCAGAACTACAAAAATACCAAATGATCACCAGTAAAGAGTGTAAAAGGACCTTGCTAACAGAAGAGCAGACGAATTTGCAGCCAAGAACAATGTGATTGAGAAAGATGGTTAAATCGCCACGAGATTCAGGGTGCTTGGTTTGCTCATTCAAGACATGGCGAGTGATGGTCATCAAATCAGTTCTATGAGCATCAGCTTCATGATCCATGACAAGCCCTTTTTTTCCTCAACACAAAACTCAAACCTTTTCCCCTCAAAATTAGATCAAAGCTTTCTTTTTGGGATCAAATGAAATTAAAAAAAAAGGATGAAACTTGGAGAGCGAAGAAACCTTTTTTTCCTTCTGTTTTTGTAGCGTAAAGAGCAAGAGAAGTTGGAGAATAAAGATATATACATGTGAATATATATATCAACATCAACTACAGAGTGGATTTTGATTATCCAATAAAGGATTAGAATGACACGTTTGACCAATTTGATCACATAGCTGTGAGTCATCAAGAATTCAGCTATTGTTATTTCCAACCTATGCTGTTTCTAAACGTTACAAGTGCTTAGCTTTTGATCAACAATGGCGGTTTTGGGTTTGAGTAACGAATAAGGGAGAGGATATGTCGGTTAAAATCAACTAAATGAATCATTCGGTTAAATTGATTTTGGTTAATTCGATCATTGTGATTAAGTTAAATATAATTTTAATTAATTTAGTTTACAGCTCAATTTTGGTTAGACAAATCAATATATTCTAATTAAATCGATTCTATATAAATGTATTGAACTAATTAATTACGGAGAATGAGTGTTATTTTGATGGGTAAATTATAAATTTTATCATTTTTTTCATTTTTAATTTGATCATAAAAGTTTAAATATGTTTCCTCGACATGGAAAGGTATATAGTAGTCATGTGTGCTAATGTTAATTGTTTTTATTGATATAGATTTTGTGTCATTCATGTTATTTTCTTTTTTTCTTATTTCAAATATAAAAATTTTATAATTTTATAATTATGTCGTGTTATCGCTGTAATTAATATTTTTGTGTCTTTTTCAATCATTTAAGTTATCAACTAATTCGTCCAATTATCTCCTATCACTCTATCATTTTAGATTTTACATAAATCACTTTAAAATTCGTAAAATTCAATTTAAAACTCTAAAATACTATGGTCTATAATATTCGTCGTCTGATTAGCATGAAAATAAGCTATACAACATGCTTCCTCTTTTTACATCTCTCTACACTTAGATTTTGAAAATTTTATTTAAAGTGTTTCATAATTTTTTTTACAAAAATATTTAATCATAATGTCGTTAAATATTTAACGATAGAATAATCAAAATAGGAGTAAATTAAAAGTTCAGTAAATATTTATTTTAAAATTTTAGTGATCAAAGTACGAGTGAAAAGAAGTTTAATAAAATTTATAGTTTATCTTATTATTTTAGATTAATCACTAATATCCAATTAATTTATCGTCTAATTCAGATTAAATTTTATATAAATTTATTATAAAATAATACTCCGAACCTAATTTATTATCATAGTTTGAAACTCTTATATTACTTAAAAAAGAATATAATGCCTCATTTGTTAGCTCGACTAATTGTTAGTTATCCTATTTTAATATATATTTATATAGGTAATTTAGCACTGGTCCACGTTAGTCCTATCTGCGTTGCACTTTGATCCTTGGAGACCTCAACACTGTTTATAACTTGGCTAAACCGGTCTTCCTCCATCAGTTCAATACGGCGGTTCCTGTTAGAAATCGAGCACCGATACATCAGTCCAGCAGCTCAGAATGCTATACATTCATAACGAGAGAGAAGGATAACAAGGTCAAGGAAGCAGTGGTTGTCTCTCTTCAACTTTGACTCACCCTTTCTTTAGCGATCAATAGTTTGATCCAAAAACCATAACTTTCTCCCCCTCGATCGTGTTTTCATGGGAACAACAGACCTTACCCAAGCACTCCTCAAAAACACCAAAAACCCAAAGCTAGCATGGCAACTCTTCAAGCGGATTCAATCTTCACAACCCAATCCCTCTGTTCTTTCATCAGTGCCCACCATTGCCCGTATCCTTATCCGTTCTAAATTGCTCCCAGAAATCGATCAGCTTCACCTCCTCCTCTTATCCTCACAGCCCCAACAAAATCCCCTCCGCTCCCTCATTTCCCTTGTCAATCTCTTAGCTAAATCAGGTTTCTCTGATAAATCCTTTTCCCAGTTCCGGTCCATAAGAACAAACTTCCCACAAAACCCGCCTTCCATTTGTCTGTACAATGTTCTCTTTGGATGTTGTATTAAAGAAAGAATTTCCGATTTGTGCTTTGGTTGTATAAAGATATGGTCGTTGCCGGTGTTTTTCCTCAAACTTATACTTTCAATCTTTTGATTTGTTGGTTGTATGATTTGGGTCATTTGGAGGACGCCCGAGAATTGTTTGATAAAATGCCTGAGAAAGGTTGTCTGCCTAATGAGTTTAGTTTTGGCGTCTTGGTTCGGGGGTATTGCAGATTCGCCCTTGCTAATAAAGGGGTGGAGCTTTTGGATGAGATGAAAAAGTCCAGGATTTTGCCGAATGGAGTTGTGTATAATACATTGATTTCGAGTTTTTTGTAAGGAAGGTAAAACTGATGATGCTGAAAATTTGGTAGAAAGAATGAGAGGATGGTTTGTTTCCTGATGAAGTTACATTCAATGCTAGAATATCCGCTCTTTGTAAAGCGGGTCAAGTTCTCGAAGCATCAAGGATTTTAAGAGAGATGCAAATAGATGAAGCCGTGGGGCTACCTCGGCCTAATGTTATAACCTATAATCTAATGCTTGAGGGGTTCTATAAGCAGGGGATGCTGGTGGAAGCAAAGAACTTGGTTGAGTCTATGGAGAAAAATGGCGATTTGATGAATTTAGAGAGTTATAATATCTGGTTGTTGGGGTTGCTAAGAAATGGGAAGTTACTAGAGGCTCAACTTGTACTTAAGGACATGGTCAATAAAGGTGTAGAACCTAATATTTACTCGTATAATGGTGATGAGTTTTATTATAAGGAGTGGTCTTTCTCCCGATACAATAACTTACAGCACTTTATTACATGGCTACTGTCGTAAAGGGAAGTTATCTGAAGCAAATGATATTCTAAATGAGATGATGAGAAATGGTTGTGTCCCGAATACTTGTACTTGCAATATTTTGCTGCATAGCTTGTGGAAAGAGGGGAAAATATTAGAGGCAGAAGAGTTATTGCAAAAGATGAATGAAAAAGGTTATGGTGTGGATACTGTAACCTGCAATATTGTAATTGATGGTTTGTGTATAAGTGGGAAGTTGGAAAAAGCTATGGAAATCACCGATGAGATGTGGACGCACGGAAGTGCTGATCTAGGTAACCTTGGAAACTCATTTATTGGCCTAGTTGATGATGTTAACTGTCGCATGAAATGTACTCCTGACTTAGTTACATATTCTATCATAATTAGTGCTCTATGAAAGGCTGGAAGGATAGATGAGGCTAAAAAGAAATTCAAAGAGATGATGGCTAAAGTGGTCTTTGAAGCTGCGTTAGATAGATCTTTTCATTTGGGTAATTTCTTTTATAAGGATCTCATTGAAAAACTTTGTAAAGATGAGAAGTTACAGGAAGCTAGTGGTATTTTGCACAAGTTGATTATCAAAGGATACAAATTTGATCCTGCATCATTCATGCCAGTGGTTGATGACTTGGGTAAACGAGGAAACAAGCTCGAGGCTGATGAACTTGCAGAGAAGATGTTGGAGATGGCTTCAGATGGTAGAGTGGAAAACAAGATATCTCGAAAAGAAAAGGAATCAATCCATAGAAAAGGAACAAAGTATGGTGGAGATGACTGGCAAACAATAGTGCACAGTTATGGCTAAAATAGTAATTCTTTTTTCTTGATTTTTGTCTTCATTGGCTTTGTTGATCTTTGGAATGTTTAGTGCTACATTCTAATTGCCAAATATAGACAGCAGTTCAATGAGTTCCTTTTTTCTTATTAGTGCAGTTTATTGTCCTCTGTATATTATTTGATGTTCTTGACATAGCTTCGATTTAATATTCTTTTACAGGGATGATGGAAGTGGAATCGCTTTGAAATCCCTTTAGGGGGTACAGAAAGGTTGGGGTCAGGGAAGTATACCGAGTTTGCGGCCCCAGAAAAATGAGCTTTTTGATTACTGGTGAAGTTGGTTGTTTAAGTTCCCATTTATCAGAAGATAGGGGTGGAGGTTACTGGTAATTAACCAAGGATTAATTTGTCATTCATGGAGGATTCCTATGCCGATCACTTGTGCAAAATATTCATTTTAATTTCGTTGGGTTCGGAAGTCATGAAGCAGGCAAATGTTGCGGAGTAAGTTTTGACGTGCTTATTGATTTTCAGTTAATTGTCTGTGCTTGTGAAGTAACTGCCTAATAGCACCTTGTTTCTGTATTTCTGCAGACGGATAGCAAACTGGTTGGCGAGCAAGCTGGTTTTAGATTTTCTCTGTAGAGTAAAAAGGGTTGCGCAACACAACTTAGGCCAAAAGCTAAAACTTACATGCGGTAGTCTCACTACCGAACATGGTCTCGCTGTTTCACCTAGTTTGTGAAGCCACCATGAAAACTCTAACGTTAAACATCGAACTTTTAGTTAGTTCACACTGTGGCAAACACGAACAGATTACAAACATTTTCAGAACATTCGACTTGGAACATTTGCAGAATCTTGTCTTGGGTGGCAGTGCTACTAATGTGTTTGCAGCGATGCAGTGTACCAATATTACGACCCGTCTGTGAATTCAAGTCCCGTCTGTGACCGTTAACGCAATCTTACGACCAGGAGCTTCAGGAAGTGTACCACTAAGATCAACAAACCTCCATCCTGCTTCATTGTTTGCAGCAAGACAAACTTGTCCCATCACCGCCATGTTCTTCAGTAATCTGCGAATTCAAGTTTTTTTTTTCTGAAGGAAAGAAGAATGTAGTTTTGATTGCACTTTTCTTAAGGGTTATTTGTAACTGAACCAGCTTTGCTTTCTCGAGCAAGGAAAGGAAAATAAATGCGTATTGTTTATATGGTTAGAGATCGCGAGGGTTTTTCTTGCATACGCTGTAAATACTCGGTACTCCTTATAGAGATGATTCTCAGAACTATACATGAACTTTTATTAAATACATAATTATATACACAAACTTTGATTCTATATAACTGTATATATAAAATTTTGCTTGGATTCAATTTTTATATCATAATTATAGAACAAAACAACATTTTACAGTCTTGTACATTGAATCAGAGTTCACCGATAACATAAAAGATTACAAGACCTTAACAATGCAGCAGCTAAAGAATCATGCTGCCTGGTAAACAAAGATGCAAACCACAAACATACACTTCAATCCTACTCCATTACACAAACAAGCGATCGAACACTAATGTCTACACGTTCATCAAGCTCTCTACCTCACTCGGATTCTGTGGAAGTCTTCGTCGTCGTCTTTGGAATGAAGGGTAATCAAAGCATCCATCCTCGGCCGGACGAAACGCCGCCACCCAGAGCCGCTGATGCAGTACACGCCGTCTCCTTCACTCTTGCACTCAAACTTCCACCATTCGGACCCGTCGGTGACCGTTAAAACGATTCGACCACCGGGCAGTGTGCCGCTACGATCAGTAAACCTCCACCTAGCTTCATGGTGTGCTGCGAGATTAACTTCCGCGATTTCTTCCATTTCTTCAAACTCAAAAGATTGCAATGTGATGCATTTCTCAAACAATTCATTCTGCATTTTATAGCAGAACCAGGTCTGCTTACTCGAGCGAAGAAAGAAGAAACATTATTCCGAGTCGAATGTTTTCGAGAGTGTTTCTTGCGTAGGCTGTAAATGTTTGCAATTTGTTCGTTTTGGCCATCGCGAGAGCTAAAATGGGGATGCTCTGTTTTCATGGATAAACTTGGTCTCATGTCAAACATCGAGCAACGCATCATATGGTCGCGTGAATGCGCGATTTTTAGCATTTGGATGTTGGAAAAATAGATATGTAAAATTTTGTGGGGGAAAATCTTTGGACATTGTTCGAACTCGATGCTCTGTTTTCGTATAACTGTGAATGTTTAATATTTGTTTGTTTTTGGTGTTTGCGAGAACTAACTCATCATTTGGTAGTGTGAATGAATCCCCATTCTCTCGATTTCGTTTATTATTAAAATTGCGCTGCTTTTTTCTCTCAACAGATACAGCCCCGGCATCGCTCGCTCGCTCGCTTGCGAGAGAGACGATGAATCAGACTTTCCCGAGCCAATTAATTATTATTAGGATATATTACAAACTCCATCACTCAACGTTCTTCTTACTCTTATTTTAGTCATTACAATTTATTTATTTTTTAATTTGATCATTGTATTTCGAATTATATCTATATTAACCGTCGTTTACTTGCGTGAAAGCCACATTTTAACTGTCATTTTTCTTTCTGTTTTTTCATCTCTATCATCATACACCATCTACGACCATTATAATGAATTAAATTTTACAAACCAATTTTAGTGACACTTGTTATACTGATTTTTTTTTTGAATGATTTCTCTTTTAACTATCTTTCATTCTTTTTAATAAAATCAATTTTCTTTTGTTACCATCGACTTTATTAAAACATTTGAATTTTATTACCGAAACACTTCAAAGAACTCATTATAACATTATATCATTTGAGTTTGTTACATTTCCATATCATTATCTAATGGAAAAGGCATATTAAACTATTTTTTTCTTAAATTCCATGAATGAATAGAAGGAGATTCAACCTACTAGAACATAGAATATATGAGGTAAATTCTTTTACTTGAACATAGAAATTTCATTTTTTTCTTCAAATTTTCAACAAATTCACAACGATTGATAAGATCGTTTATCTAAATGTCTTGAAAATTTGAATTTAAAGAAATAATCGTGCATCTTTTCTCATTCATGGTTATTGAATTTCATTAATAGGAGGATCATTGAACAAATGAGCGTCCAAAGTCAAAATGTTCACTATACCAAAAATAAGTTCCAAGTAAAGTTTCACGTGAAAGAGATTAACAATCAAATCTTACTGATAACGTCATGATGTGACTATTTTCTTTCATTTTTTTAAGAAAATTATTAACTTCTTTAATTGTTACTGTCGGTCAATTAAGGTTGTCATCAAACGTCATTCACAATAAGAACGATATTAAATTATTTGTATTTAATCCATCTTTCTTATATATTGGTTTTCTACAAAAACCTATTAAATCTATGAAAATTTATCTAAACTTTTGATGTTATAAAACTTTGAACTCCTTCAATGATCGTTCGATAAGACTAGTTTTGAGCTTTGTGACTAAAGTGCATCACATCATCATCCATATATATATATATATATATATATAATATTATTCGAATTTTTCAGGCAATGATATGATACGATTTCAAAGTGTCAAAAGATTATCCAAGTTATGAGGTTTCAGGATTGATTTAAACTAAAAGAAAGTTTAAGGATTAAATTAAGAAAAATTATTAAGTTCAGGGTCTAAAAACTCCTTTAACCCAAAATCAAAGTACCATAGCGGCTAAAATGGTCGGCGAGCGAGCTGGTTTGAGATGTCCTCTGTTGCGGAAGCGCAACACAACATGGGCCAAAAGCTAAAACTTGCGCGCAACAGTCTCGCAATCGAACGACAGTCTAGCTATTCGACTAGGTTTATAAAGCCACCATGAAAACTCTAACGTTCAACTAGAAATTTAAATTACGGTTACGATCAAATATTTAGTCGCGTTCGTTTATTGTAATTATATATATAACAAATGATATTGTAGTTATTACATATATCATCATCGTTAATTCTTTAAAACAGTTTATTTTTTCTAAAATTTAAGTTATTTAAAAAAATAGAATAACATAATAATAGTTGGAATAGCGACCAACTATTACTTAATTGGCCGCTAATCGTTATATTGTGACTGTAGACACCATTTTTTCCGATTTCTACTTTTATAAATTATTATTATTATTTATGTTAATTACATTTTTTACAGGCTCCAATTGAAGCCCAAATACAACAACACAATCCAACAAACATAGGCCCAGTTACAAACAGTTGACCCGACCCAAGATCCGACCCATCTCAGGCCCAGCTAACCCAAACCCGCTAGGGTTTTTCACACTAATGCTCCAGCCGCCCCTGATCTCCACTGTTGGATCTGGACCCATCCAACAGTTGTTGGGTGTGGGTGATGGGGAACTAAGCGTGCTGGCCGACAAGTTATGGGTTTCCTTGGGAGGCACAAGCTGTAGTTGGGTGTGCCTCATGCGTGAGTCTTCTGCTGGGGAGCTGGAAATGGCATATGAGGTGCATGTGGCTCCATGTGGGATGTATAGGCACTAGCATGGGCAAGGTTAAAAAAATTACGTTCACAACTGTCCCTCTTTGCTCATTGTTGTGAAACGGGAATGAAGAAAAGATAATAGAGCGCCATTCATCAGATGACTAAAATAAAATAATAGGAAACCATGCATCCAATTCGCAAATCATATAAAATAAAAAGAAATGGTGACCAAATCAAAAAAATGCTAAACTTCAAGGGACCTAAGGCACGATTAACCATAAATATTTACTAAAACGTGAATCACTTTAAATAAAAAGGACCAAAAGAGTGATTTAACCTAAAACTAGTGACCAGAATATAAAATACGCTAAAGGTCTAGGGACCTTAACGTGATTCGCCAAAAACTTAATATAACAACTTCTCTCCCCTTTTCCAAATTCATTTCTGCCTGATGGTAAACCAAATCCCTAGCCTTCAATCACTCTTCCCTTCCCCTTTCACGTACGCGGTGGCCATGGCAGCCGACACTCTGACGAGCCGGCGCAAGCAACGTCTCGGCCACCCTATATGGCGGCCATTCTCCTCCCGTCGAGACCCACACACGGCGTTGGAAATACCACGAACCCAAACATCGCCCCTACGATGTTTCCTTCCTTGGGTAAGAACCAAGCATCGAACCACCATGCACGGTGGTTCTTCAACCTCAACTCCACACCTACTAATTCACCCTCTCCCCGACGACACGGCTACCAGGTAAACTACTTTCCTATCTCTATTTTTTTAAAGAACTGAATTAACATAGAATGAAAGAAAAAAGAGGAAAAAAAACAAACTAGAATACCTTCAAATATTAGGTTCTGATTTTGATTTATGAGTAAAATTTTGTTGTTCGTTCTTATTAATCAAAATCCTCATTTTACATTCTTTCATTCTCAGGTTATATAACCCATACAACCTTGAAAATAGAAAACAATCTCTCCTAATTTCCCATGATGTGTTCGGTTGGGAGTGGTGAAGTGGGGAGCTGAGCTGGAGCATGGGCGTGGGTGATGGGAACTGAGCGTGCTGCCCGACAAGTTGTGGGCTTCCTTGGGAGGCAAAAGCTGCTCTTGGGTGTGCCTCATGCGTGAGTCTTCTGCTGGGGAGCTGGAAATGGCATATAGGGTGCATGTGGCTCCACGTGGGATGTATAGGCACTAACATGTGCAAGATTAAAAAAATGGTGTTCACAGCTGCCCCTCTTTGCTCATTATTATGAAACGGGAATGAAGCAAAGATAATAGAGCGATATTTTTTACTCAATCTCTTCTCTTAAAGTCGTGGGTTCTTCTGGAAATGTTGATCCAAGGTTGAACAAGTTCTTCTCATTATGAACTTTTTCTCCCTCGTTGGGTGAGTTCTTCTCATTATGAACTCTCTGCTGGGGATATCAATCCACTATCTTCTGCGATGGTTGACCCAAGATGATGCTAATCCAACTACTTATGTGATGGATTTAAGTGAGATGACAATGTTCTATCCACCTTATTCTATGATGAAATCGAACGACATGTTGGTGATGTT